TCCATAAACTTATCTAACTTCATCTTAAAACCAGACAGGTCCCTCGCCCCCACCGTTTCCCTCGGAAGGCCGTTCCAATAGTTGGGGTGGAGGAGACAGCTCCGGTCCTGAGAGAGCAGGTCTGGGCGGAGTGGCAACGGCCACGGCAGAGCCACCGCCAGGCTACAGGGGGTCCCGGGGCAATGAGGAGGACCCTGGCCTTGTCCGTCTTTATTTTCTCTAGGACCCTGATGATCAGCGGGAACGGGGGGGAATGTGTATAGGAGTTGGCCAGACCAGGGCAGGACAAAGGCATCAGAGATAGCGCCCCTCCCCACGCCCCCCCGGAGCAGAACTGGGGACATCGTCAGTTCTTTCGGGTCACGAATAGGTCTACCTGGGGAGTTTCCCACCTCTGGAAAAGCCGGAGGGCCACTTCCGGTGTAGGGACCACTCAAGCTGAGAGGAAAAATCCCTGCTCAAGCGATCCGCCCTCACGTTCTGGGCACCCGGTAGTTGAAAGGCTTTTAGGTGGATGTCGTGGACTATACAGAAGTCCCACAGACTGAGGGCTTCGTGGAAGAGGGTGGAGGATCAAGCCCCGCCTTGCCTGTTGATATAGAACATCGAGGCCGTGTTGTCCATGAGAACCCTTGCCCTTCAGGTGCAAGAGGAAGGCCGTACATGCCAGCCGCACCGCCCTGAGTTCCTTGATGTTTATGTGAAGGGTTAGCTCTTGCGGAGACCACAGGCCTTGGGTCTGAAAATTTCCCACATGGGCTCCCCAGTCCAGGTCCAATGCATCGGACACCAGCTCCATGGACGGGCCCCTGTCCCTGAATGGGACCCCTTCGAGCATGTTGCTCGGTGTGGACCACCACCGTAGGGAGGCGGTAACCGAGTTTGGCACGGTGAGGACCTTGTCCAACCTGTCCGTGGCTTGGGAGAATTGCGAGGCCAGCCAGAGCTGGAGAGGCCTCATCCTAAGCCTGGCATGGCGGACCACATACGTGCACGCTGACATGTGACCTAGCAGCTGTAGGCAGGACCTGGCTGTCATCACCGGGAAACTTACGATTGAGTCGATGAGCCCTTTCAGGGTCTTGAACCTGTCTGTGGGGAGAGAGGCCCTGGCTGACATCGCGTCCAGGAGCACCCCGATAAACTCTATGCGCTGGACCGGGACTAATGTGGACTTGGTGTTGTTTACCAACAGGCCCAGGGTGGTGCATGTGGACAGGAGGAGTGCCACATGATCCCTCATCTGCGACCGGGAGGCGCCCTTGACTAGCCAGTTGTCCAGATAGGGGAGTATCTGGACCTCCCGGCACCCGAGGTAGGCTGCTACTACCGACATGCACTTTGTAAAGACCCTGGGGGCAATGGACAGACCAAATGGGAGGACCGTGAATTGGTAGTAATTCTGTCCCACCACAAAACAGAGGAAGCGCCTGTGCCCCTCGAATACGTGGATGTGGAAGTACGCGTCCTGTAGATTGAGGGCCGCGTACCGATCCCCAGGATCCAGGGAGGGGATGATGGAGGCCAGAGAAACCATGCGAAACTTGAGTTTTAACAAGTACTGATTCAGACCTCACAGGTCCAGCATGGGTCGGGATAAGGAAATACTGGGAGTAATACCACTTGCCAAGGAACTCCGTGGGCACTGCCTCTATCACTCCTAGTTCCAGGAGCCACCCGACCTCCTGCTCAAGCAGACCCTGGTGCGATGGGCCCCAAGAGGGACGGGGGCGGTGGGTGGTTGGGCAGGTAGGAGATAAACTGGAGGGTGTAACCTCGGGAGATGGTGTTGAGGACCCAATGGTCCGAGGTGAGCCGTGACCATTCTGGGAGGAACGCACATAACCAATTGGAGAAAGGGAGCTTGATTGGGGGATCCCTGCTGAAAACTGGCGGGGTACCCCCGAGCATCCCGTCAAAACCGCCTTTTACCCACCTGCTTGCCCTTAGAGGACCCAGGCTGGGGGGCAGGCCGGTATTGTCTTTGCGGGCATTTTTTATAGTCCCGTTGCTTCTTATGGGCGGCCTCATATTTCAGGAGGGCAGCCTGGGCGGGAGCCTGCTGTGGCTTGAACTTGGGTTTTGCCGGAGCAGGAACATAGAGGCCCAGGGTCTGGAGGGTCGTGCGGGAGTCTTTCATGCCGTGCAGCCTTGTGTCCGTTTCCTCCGCGAACAGCGCCTTCCCGTCAAAAGGGAGATCCTGCATCGACGACTGCGCTTCGCTGGAAAGCCCAGAGAGCAGAAGCCAGGACGCCTGTCTCATGGACACCGCTGAGGCAATGGACAGTGTGGCTGTGTCCGCTGCATCCGAAGCAGCCTGCAGGGACGCCCTTGCGGCAGCTGCCCCATCCTCCACAAGCGCCTTAAACGCCTTTCTATCGCGCTCCTGGAGGGAGCCCTTGAACTTGGGGAGGGATCCCCAGAGATTAAACTCGTAGCGACCCAGGAGAGCCTGATGGTTTGCTACTCTCAACTGGAAGCTTGACGACGACTACATTTTTCTCCTGAAAGCATCCAGCCTCCGAGAGTCTTTGTTCTTTGGGGTCGGAGCTGGCTGCCCCTGTCGCTCCCTGTGGTTGACCGACTCGACCACCAAGGAGTTGGGCGCCGGGTGGGTATCCAAATACTCTTGCCCCTTACTGGGCACAAAGTACTTGCGCTCCGCCTTCTTACAGATGGGAGCCAAAGAGGCTGGTGTTTGCCACAGGGCACGTGAAAATTTTGCCACCCCTTCATGGAGCAGCAAGGCCACCCTGCCCGGTGCCGAGGGGGACAGAACATTGAACAGGGAGTCTGAGGGCTCCTCCATTTTCTCTGCCTGGAGATGGAGGCTCGCTGCCCCCTTTTTAGTAATTCTTGATGGGCCTGGTAGTCCTCTTGCAGGACGGAGGGGGGCGGGGCCACAATAAGCTCCTCTGGATGGGGCGAGGAGGCTAGTGCGGTGCTTTGGGTGTCGGCTGGCACTGGAGGATCCACCATCTGGTCGGACTCCCGGCACGGTACCAAGGAAGTGGGTTCCGTTGACTCTTTCCTCGGCGGTGTAGGGATGGAGGCCAATGGTGCTTCCGACGCCACTGCCACCGAGCGAGTCCCCACAGGGAGCTGCGCCGGAGGCCATGGTGCCCACTGGTACCACTGGGCTGGCCACAACGCACGGTGCCACTGCACTTGCTGAGGCACCGGCGGGGCCGGACGATCAGGCTGGCTCGCTTGGCCTGTAGATGGGAGACTGTGAGCAGAGGTCGGGCTGGCATACGACACGCTGCTGCCTCTGGATCGGAAGTGGCAGCGGTGCCAGGATCTACGCTGACAACAGGACCGCAACCTCGAGGGGGGAGAACGGTACCGACGATAGTGGCTGCTCCGCGAGCGGTCTCGATGGGCGGACCCGCAATGGCGAGGAGCCGGCAATCGATGCCCGGAGCTATGGTGCCTTGGTGGAGACTTAGAGTGGGATTCCAAGCGGGAACGGCGTTGACGGTCATGCCGTGACCGACTGCGGTACTACCTTCAAGACGAGGACCATCGGCAACGTCCACCATGGTCCCATCTGTGCTTGCTCTGTGAAGATGAGCGGTGCTGGGAGTCCCGATTGGATGGCACCCATCCAGACAGTCTAGCCAGCGTCGAGGGTGATCCACATAGACTGAGCCCTGAACAGTCACTGGGTGGTGAGCGGTGTCGAGAATATTCCCTCGACTGAGGGTACTGGGCCGGTGGCGACCCCAGCGGTGGCTTGCCTCCAGAGCGTGGGACCGACATCGGCGGCGCTCCTGCCACCGGCATGGACATGAGGTCCCTAGCTGCCTGGAGGGCTTCGGGTGTAGATGGCATCCCGACATCCGGAGATGCCTGTTCTGAAGGGGCTGGGCTACTCCGCTCCGTGTGAGTCGGAGGCATAGGGCCCGATGGGGACCGAGGACTACCCGACATGTGCCTAGCCTCTGTCCCAGATTTCCCTCGGTGCCATTGCGAAGAGGGAGTCTTTCCAGTCCTCTTGACATGCCCCGTGGAAGGGGAGCAGTGCCAACTAGTCGAAGGTACCGGAGGGTCTCCACATACTGACACCACGGTGCCAGGTACCAGATCGGAGCGGCGTGCTGGGGTCGGGGCCAGCGCCGACTCCATCAGGATGGCCTGGAGTCTAATGTCCCTTTCTTTTTCAGTCCGAAGCTTGAATGACTTGCAGATCTTGCACCTTTCGCTGATATGGGTTTCTCCCAAGCAGCGCAGACAGTCTGTGTGCGGGTCACTCATTGGCATAGAATGCCTACAGGAGCTGCACGACTTAAATCCTGGGGCACGGGGCATGCCCTGGCCCGGGCCCACTAACTAATGAAACTTTACTGAAAACTAAACTGCATACAAGTACTACTGCACATCAGTTCTGGGGACAAGCTGCAGCAAGGCGGAAGCTAAGCAGTTCTGAGGCACCTTCACTGGCGGCAAGAAGGAACTGAGGGTGGGGGGAGCGTGCAGCTCCCCTTATACTGTTCCAGGCAGGCTCCACTCCAAGGGTTGCGGGGGGCGCTCCCCCCCTACCGGTACTGCTAGGGGAAAAACTTCCAGCACCGGTGCACGTGGCGAGCACGCACACCTATTGTGGAATACACATGAGTAATCACTCGAAGAAGAACTGTTATGTCACATTCTGCTTTAAGGAATGTATTCTTGATCATTCACTACACAAACTTTACAGAATGGACATTATCTAGGCCTGAGCTCTGAATTCATTAATTTTAGATGGCCACAGCATATATACCTCTTACTTCACATTAAGTGGTTTGTTCAAAATTACCACAGTGATGGATCAACAAGGAGCTAAACTACAACTACAAGGATCAACATCAAGGACAGCATATAAACTGAGGTAAAACTTACCAATCTCACTGGCCTTTGCTCCACCACTGCTGCCCTTCCCCCAGCTGCCCAACTGGGCTTTAGGCACAAGCTGAATCTTCTCATCTATTGTGGACTGCAATACACATCAACACAGATGATCAAGTACTCACAAATAGGAAAAATTTGCTCCTTACCTGTAAATGGATCTTTTCACATAACTGCACTTACTAATTCTGGTACAGCTGGTAAGATCCCTTATTAGCACAGAGGCACATTTCTAGTAGATTCTTGGAGATCAATCCTCAGCCTCTAAAAGGCAGGGGGTGTCTAAGCACACCCCAAATAGATGCTTCCAAAGCGTAAGTGTAAAACATCCAAGGGAAAGCAACCCTCACAAAGAGTAAGTGTAAAACATCTGTGAACTTCCTATCAATAAGATTAAAACTACTGTTAAGATCTTTTGAAGAGGGAATACAGGATTGATGCATTAAGCATGTGAGAGACGACCATTTTGTGTGTAATGAATAAATGGTTTCCACTCACTATGAAATCTGCCAATCCTGGCATTGCTGGGAGTTTGCAAGCAGCAAGGATCAGAACAGAGAAAGGCATGAAAAGAAAAGATTTGTAGGATCTGGAGGGAAAAAAGCAGTGTCTTACAAGAACAGGAAATCTGTTTTGTAATGATCAGCAAACAAATTTATTGACTACCAGGTTGTGATACTGCAGATCTCCTTGGAACAGCCTCTGTTTCTTTCTGCCCATGAAGCTGCCATGGAGATAGAGGTATGTACACTAACCACAGTAGAAGAGCTTCTCTCATCTGAGTTGTAAGCTTGCATATTAGCAGAATAAGTCCACCTCACTATACAGGGCTTTGGAGGCCTGCTGTACAATCTCCATAAAGATCTGCAGAAAGATTTTATTCTGTCCTGATCCTGCTTTATAGGCCTCTTAACATTCAGGCACTAAAGGAAAATAGGGTGGCACTGATTAGGGGGAAAAAAAAATTAAGAAATCATCCTAATAATGCGAAGGACCAAGTTCTCTTTCTTTGGATAGAAATTCCAAAGCTGTTCTCAGAACCATTTTGTCTAGAAAGAACTCTAGCAAAGCAGGGGGCGAGGGATAGCTCAGTGGGAGAGGGCCATTTAGGGATCTTTGATCAGTAGGTTGGACTAGATGACCTCCTGAGGTCCCTTCTAACCCTAATATTCTATGATAAGATTCTATATATATACACTCAGACCCTGCGTCTGAGATTACTGTCACAAGAAATCTCACTTTGCTGGTAAGAATAACAAAAAGCCACTCATCAGATGATGGTTGGGACAAGATTTGCAGGATCAGATTCCAATTTATAACAGTTTATAGGAAGCTGAAAGGCCGATATGAGTCTCCTGACTGCTTCCAGAAATCTACAAATAAAAAGTGAGTGTTCATTGCTCATTTCAAACCACAGATCCTCAAAGCTCTTGGTGCTGTCACCTATGATAAGCAGCAAGTAGAGGGAAAGCAACCCTCCCCTCCACAAAGAGTAGTTCAGTTGAGGAGAGAGGAGGTAGTGGAACACTGGAGAAGAAGTGGCAGTAGGGGGAGTTATGGCCAGTTTCCTTGGCAATGAAAACCAGATACCAGGGCTCAGACCTCTCCTGCACCAACACTCTTGGTGCTTAAATCTTCCCTGACCAGGCAGCTCTTTAAAGCATTGCCAATTAAGAGAGGATGAAATGGAAAACCTGCTATCTTCTGAGGAAGAGGGTGTCCCTTCCCTCTTCTTCAGGGCCGGCTCCAGTTTTTTTGCCACCTCAAGACAAAAAAAAAAAAAAAAAGGGGGACGGGGTGCCACCCCTTGAAAAGTGCCGCCCCAAGCAGATGCTTGGAACGCTGGTGCCTAGAGCTGGCCCTGCTCTTCTTCCGTGTGTATTTGCAGGAGGGGAGTCCAAAAAACAGAATGAGAATCATGAAAGTACAGAAATACAAGGTGACATCCTGGGCCTCTCTCTGGAAGATCCAGAAGTGGACAGGATGGTGTTCAGAAAAAAAAAGTCTGGACAAGAGACAGAAAGATACAAGAGCCAATTATCAGAAAACTGTAGTCTAGAAGGAGCCTACTATCAGGCCTGAGGCAAAACAGAGAATACTGTGGACTCTATGTACTGAGAGTATGGTGGGGCACCTCTGCTTACAGAGGCTAGAAACTGAACTCCAAGAATCTTCCTGAGTTCTGCCTCCATGATAACCACAGGCAGGCCTTCCAAGGCATTTGAGAGGCCTTGTGGGATAGCTGCTTGATGTATTATGTTAATAATTTATATATATATATATATAT